GGGGGGCGGGCAGCGCCTGGGAAAGCGCCGCGTGCGCGCAGCGCCTGGCAGCAGCCCTTGTTTTCGGCATTAGCTCCATGTGTTGAATACAACAGACGCCTTAGAGTTCACCTGGTTTTGATTCAGAGCGAGCCCGTTAGAAATTTGTTTGTTTTAAAGAGAGCACGTGCCGGTTAGAAAGCAAATCTCTTTTCTGCCATATGTGCTGAGGAAAGCTGGCAAGTGCAGGCAGCAGTAGAAGTTACTGTATGAACCTGCAGCTTGACAGGAGCAGCTGTTTCTGTGCGATGGCACCCAGTCCCTTACCGTGTTTTTGTCAACAGTCGCACGCTGTGTGCAGCATTTCAGAGTGAAGACTGTACTTTTGTAGTGCTGTGCCATGTTAAGGCGTGTACTCTCTTATTCTGTGAAGGTAAAATGCCTGTACAGAAATAAACATATTATGGACTCCCACTCAGATTCCTGAGTTAAATTCATCCAGTTGTCTAATGAATGGAATTCGATCTTCTAGAGAAAATAAATAATTGTGACTTTTTAACTGTTTGCCCAATGTTTATCTTGTTAATCACTTGTCCAAGCTTAGTGTAAGAAGCTGAGATGGCACAGGATAGTGTAAATCCATACAGATTGCTTAGTTCAGGAGCTAGTATTTCAAACTTTCAATTTCACTGTTAATTCTTTTCATTAGAAATAAGCTGAGAAAATAGGAAAAAACAACCCAGGAATTTTTTTTTTTTTTCAAGTGTTTAGGTCAAAGCAGTGCAAACGTGTCAAAACTCATACTAGACCAGTACAGTCTACAGTCTTTACATGAGACAAATAGAAAGATGGCTAACATATCCCCCAAAACAGTTTTTCAGACATCTCTCTGTATCTTGTTTAAAAAAGCTGCAGTTACCTGCCTTGCGTTTAAAATAGTTCAGAACAAAGGTATGAATAAGTTCTGTCAGTAACTAGTTTATCACTCTGCTTATATGCTTTGGTTTCCTCCCTTTATCAGTATAATCCATGGGTAAACTGTAAGACAGTATTTATTTGCTATAATAGGTTTAAAACTTAAACTAACTCTTACCTTATTGAATTTGGAATTTGAAAGTGTTAACCTAGAACAAGAAAGATGTTAACGTTCATAATGAATGCTAACATTCACCGCCTCCGTACCATTCACTTCTAAATCTGATGCAGGACAAATGATAGTTCAAAGCACATGCAAATACTTAGTCCTAATTAATATTTTAAAATGCATTTGATCACTTCATTCTATGTGTTAACATGTCATTTGGTATATTGATGTACAAGTAATAAAGATGTGATGCTTACCTTGTTTTCTGAATGGAACTAATACAATATTTTGATGTATCACAGGTAAATTTTTCCATAACCTTATGGAGAAAAAGGACTTTGAAGCATGGCTTGATAACATTTCTATTACATTTCTTTCTCTGACGGACTTGCAGAAAAATGAAACTCTGGATCACCTGATTAGCTTGAGTGGAGCAGTCCAGCTCAGGCACCTCTCCAATAATCTAGAGATTCTCCTCAAGAGGGACTTCCTCAAACTTCTTCCATTGGAACTTAGTTTTTATCTGTTAAAATGGCTTGATCCTCACACCTTACTCACATGTTGCCTCGTCTCTAAGCAGTGGAATAAGGTTATAAGTGCCTGTACAGAGGTGTGGCAGACTGCATGTAAGAATTTGGGTTGGCAAATAGATGACTCTGTTCAGGACCCTCTACATTGGAAGAAGGTTTACCTAAAGGCTATTTTAAGGATGAAGCAGCTGAAGGACCACGAAGCCTTTGAGACATCCTCTTTAATTGGACACAGTGCCAGAGTATATGCACTTTACTATAAAGATGGACTTCTGTGTACAGGTAGGAAGGACAGAAAACTTGGGGTCTTACAATTCTTTGTTTTCTCCCCCTGCCCGCTATATAATTAATGACAATTTGCATTTCTTTTACCAGACAGATTATTTTCATAGTGCTAACGCAGTTTAAGATGATTCAAAATTGTTTTTTTCCACCAATTTCTGGAACACCTGGTACACTAATAAACTCAGTCACTTTAATAGGAAAACAAGGAGACTAATGTCTGTCTTGGTTAAAAAAAAAAACAGTAACAGCAGATATCATGCTTCAGATTAGTAAGCCCATTTGAGAAGTACAGATATATTAGCTATTTATTAGAGGACAACTTCTAGTTAAAGGGACCGTGTTTGGGCTTGTGATCACTGCAGTCTCCCAGGGCGTGGCAGGAAAAGTCTGCCTTCTTCCTTATGTTCTGTAAGCACTTTCAGTTCTTAATATAAATGCTTGTATGAAGACCTGTAAACTAGATTTAACCTTGCTACTAGTCTGACTTGCACATTGTAATACTTTCAGCTTCCTCTCTGAAGCCTACAGACTTCACATTTCAGTTTGAACTTAAAAATACAGCCAGAACAAATATGAAACCTTAAGTATGAAAGAATAGTAACAAAGTTACAATGAATTGCTGTCAGAGCATATTCCAAGGGTTTTCCAATCGCTTGAGATGACAATGTTATAGAATAAGTTGGGGATACTGGCTGAATACTCCCACATTTGTTGGTGCATTAAGATGGTTACTAGAAACCAAGAACTAGACTCTAGCCAGGTAGGGTTTGTAAATACACAGAAAGCAGCATTGTCAGAACTTTCTGAAAATGGCACACTTGTGCTGAAACCACCAGGAGAAAATAGAGGCGTAAGGGTCTGGGGTTTTATTCTGCTCTCTAAACCTGGCAGTCTGGACTTACAAGGTTTTTTTTAAAAAAAAAACAAAAACAAAAAAAACCCACCACCACCTTTGGGGAGAGAAAGGAAACTGGCAGGTGATGCGGCCTGGTATTCATCTGTTGTCTTTCAAGATTTGGTGGACTCCTTTCCTACCTGAAACAAACCAAAGCTTGCAGTATAATCAGTGGCTCTGCAAACCTGAGAGTGATGTATCATGTAAAACTTCCATGCATCTGTTTCAGTAGACACTGTAAATCAGAGGCAGTGCTGGAATCTATGGAAGGTGCTAAAAGGGTATGAGGAAACTGGAAGGCCAGACATCTAGTAGCTTAATTAACATGAAAACAAGAGACTTAAAACTACACCATCTTCCCCATTCAAGCAGCTTGAAAGTACTATTTAATGAGAAAAAGTTCAACAAGGGGAAATGCAAAGTTCTGCACCTGTGGAGGAACAACTCTGTGGCACCAGTATGTGCTGGGGGCCACTCAGCTGGAAAGCAGCTTGGCAGAAAAGGACCTGAGGGTCCTGGTGGGCACCGAGTTGAACATGAGCCACCAACGTGCCCTGTCTGCAAAGGCAGCAAACAGTATCCTGGGCTGCTTTAGGAGGTGTGTTGCCAGTAGGTTGAGGGAGGTGCTCGTTCCTCTCCACTCAGCACTGGTGAGGCCGCACCTGGAGTACTGTTTCTAGTTCTGGGCCCCTCAGTACAAGAGAGACATGGACACACTGGAGAGTCCCACAAAGGGCCATGAAGATGATGAAGAGACTGGAGCATCTCTCATATGAAGAAAGGCTGAGAGAGCTGGGACTTTTTATCCTAAAGAAGAGAAGGTTCAGGGAGGATCTTATCAATGTACGTAAATACCTGAAGTGAGGGTGCAAAGAAGATGGAGCCAGGCTCTTTTCAGAGGTTCCCAGTGATGGGACAAGAAAGACAGGAGGTTCCCTCTAAAACGCTTTTTTATAGTTGAGAGTGATGGAGCCCAGAGAGATTATGGAGCATCTATCCTTGGACATATTCAAAAGCTGTCTGGTCATGGTCCTGGGCAACCGGCTCTAGGTGACCCTGCTTGAGTAAGAGGGTTGGAAGAGTTGACCTCCAGAGGTCCCTTCCAACCATAACCATTCTGTAATTCCAGGAAAATGCTATGTTTAAGATAAATGTGGAAGATGAGTCCAAGATGAGAAGTATTATTTACTCTTTACTTCCAATAACCCTGCTCTTTTATATTCTAGGATCAGATGACTTGTCTGCAAAACTGTGGGATGTAAGCACAGGTCAGTGCATATATGGTATCCAGACACACACCTGTGCTGCAGTGAAGTTTGATGAACAAAAGCTTGTAACAGGATCTTTTGATAACACAGTAGCCTGTTGGGAATGGAGCTCTGGGGCAAAGACACAGCATTTTAGAGGACATACTGGTGCAGGTATGTTGAACTTTTCAATCTGTAATTTCCCCAGTCAAGTAACATACATCATCATCAAACAAATTATAATTTAAGTTAGCTCTTTGCACGACAGCTTTGTTTTTTAGGCACTGTCCCAAGTCACCTTTTGGGGTTGGGGAGGAAGTGGCCAGAACAGATCTAGATCTGTCTGCCCTTGAATAATGCCAAAGCTTAACCATGTAGTTTTTTGCAGTTGCATGAAAATAATGCTACATGCCATGGTTATTTGGTACTTTCAAGTCTACCAAAAAGATGCAAACCCTAGGTAGCAGAGAGCATGACAATAGCAGTTCTCTATATCCCCAGACTGGAGATGGGCTTACAGCAAAGAGCACAATAAGACCTGGGAATCCGTGTTTTTATTTCCCTAATAACTAACTTATCTGTCCTCTACTGCAAAATATCCTCAACTCAGCTGTAGGTCTGTTCCCCTGCAAGTAATGAGATGTATCAAATACAGTGATCCTGTTGGAATTGACTTACTAGAACTCTTAAAATAGGACCTAGCTTAAGTTACGCTTTGCCATAATCCAACCATAAAGGAAGCACTGATGTACATGCTCTTAACCTGCACCAAAAAAAAAAAATCACTAATTTTGCAGTGTAAGCTAGGAATCCAGAGCAACAATTCATGTATACAGTTCAAGAAAAACAGTTAAAGCTGTAGCAGCATGTGAATTTAGAGGCTATATGACCTATTTAGTGTCTCGCTCAAAGCAAAACGTGTGCACAGAGACTGGTATTCCTGGTACTAAATAGTACCCTCTTTGCTTGAAGTTTTTAGTGTGGATTACAATGATGAACTTGATATTCTGGTCAGTGGCTCTGCAGACTTCACTGTGAAAGTATGGGCCTTATCAACAGGAACGTGCCTGAATACCCTTACTGGACACACAGAATGGGTCACTAAGGTGGGAATATGGATTTTTAATTAATCTTGCAAAGCATTTAGTTGCAATAAGTTTGTAACGTGTTCTGAGTTTTTATTTCCTAATCGTAACCCTGCATCTAGGTATAGAATCTGAAGAACATCGGGAAATAGTGCAAAATAACATTTCAGCAGAAAAAATAAAGAAGCTATAACTAAACCTTTCAGACCATTGAAGATACTTCTATTCCAAAGCAGCTGTAATAATATTAGGGATCAGTATTTGACTCAAAGACTGAATTAAAACAATGGTTCTGAAAGAAAGCTACTTTAAAAATTATGTAGAAAAACTAATGATCTTGATTAACCAAAATCTGAGCATGAAAACTGTTCTGAAGCCAAGAAAGAGTATTTTTCTTCTGAGTGTTTCAGAATTTGGAAGGTGGGAGGGATTCTAGATGTGTACATGTGTTTTCTTATTAATACAGTAAGTTGTCACTAGTAGGAACAAGAAAAGTGTAAACTGTAGTTTCCCTTCAGTTGTTAAAAGTATTTGTATTGCCTTTATACAAGAGTACAGTATGCAGGTTGTCAATGAAGTAAAAATGCAAATGACAGTTTGGTTATTTAACAGCATCGACATAAATCATTACATCCTTCAATCACAGGTAGTTTTACAGAAGTGCAAAGTCAAATCTCTTATGCATAGTCCTGGGGATTATATTCTTCTAAGTGCAGACAAGTATGAAATCAAGGTATGTACCATGTATCACACGTATATTACTTCGGTACCCAGGGAAAGAAAATGCTTGAGTGCTTCACTGAAGCTTACAAATAATAGAAGCCTTTATTTTCTTCCGTATTCCCTGCTTGTAAAGTTGCATACAAGACATGCAACTCTTTGGAAGCTAACTTTTCAATGCTTTCCTTCATGTTTAGATTTAAATTATAGCTCTACATGAATGGTAATGTAACAAATAGTTGCTTTCAGTGTATGCCTAATGTGCTAACTTGACAGTGAAGCACTTAACTGCCAGTACTGTTACTGTTGGGGACTTTTGGATTGGAAAGTTTCGTGAATAGTTTGAGGCTATGGAAACAGTTCTGTCCAACTGCATGCTTGATTTTTTTGCCGTTCTTTAAAGCACTTGTTTTCACTAGACATTTTTAGGCTAGAAACAACACATACTGCAACAATACTGTAAGACAAGTCGCTTAAAGAATTGATGTTCCTACCTAAAGGAGATAAGTATTTCTGAAAAAACATGCACACATTTACCCGATGCTTATGGAGAGATTGTGAGACTTGCTGTATTTGTTTAACAGTTTATAATGTTTTATGGTCTCTCTTAATTGTAGATTTGGCCTATTGGAAGGGAAATAAACTGCAAGTGCTTAAAAACACTTTCTGTTTCTGAAGATCGCAGCATCTCCCTACAGCCCAGACTGCACTTTGATGGTAAATACATAGTGTGCAGTTCAGCACTAGGATTATACCAGTGGGACTTTGCCAGCTATGATATTCTCAGGTAAATCCTTCCGTTTAAGACTTAGTTTTCTTTAAATACATAAGAAGTAGTACATGTTAGTTTTAATAACTTACTTCAGATGTAGGCCAAAAAAATCTTGATAAAAATTCTGTAAACATCTTACTTTACACATTTTGCCAGGTTTAATTCTAATTTATCATCTGTTAATACGAATCATTTGATTGCTGTTTTGTTTTCTGGCCACAAGCTAGTCCTCTTTCATATTTTTATTCCGTAAGCTGAAGAGTTTCAATGTAGACTCAAATCAGATTGCAGTGTTGTAGTTGTGAACGTGAAACTGTAGTGACCAGAAGTTAATGTTCCTATGGAGACTGCTCTTTTGAGAGCCAGGTGGGCATTTCTGGAGGTCCTTTGATGGGACAAGAAATTAAAAAGACTCTTTTTCCATATAGCACTACCGATCTGTCATTCCCAGTAACGCTGTGGAATGATAGTGAAATCTATCAGATTGCAGTAAGGTATCAAACAGGATGGCATTCTGTTTCCGTAAAAAGAACAAGGCTGTGCTTGTTAAAAATGGTGGCATCAGAGATTGTAACTTATTAAAGAAAAAAATTGCATTTTAGAACAGTTAACAGACTCTTAATTGAAAGGGCCCAAATATTTGTAGAGTGTATCTACCATAGAAAGATCTACTCCAAAAGAAGTACTTACAAGTAAGAAAAACTGAGTAATTTCACCTCTTAGTATACGCTCCTGTTCTCTTTCTGCTGAGAACAAATTTTTCATCTCCATACATTTTTGTGCCTCAGTTCCCTGCCTGATATAATGCTATGATCAAATGCTCAGTCAGTTGCAGAAAACTTACTCTCTTCAATTTCTCTTCCAAGTTTTATTTATGAAATCAAAAATATCCTAAACATGTAGGGGAATTAACAAATACTTTTATTTCTCCTTAAGATGAAAATGCTTAACTTGTGCTAAGCATCAGTAAAACAGCATTCTGTTAAGGACCAATCTTGAATGATTTATCCTCTTATCACAAGAAGGCATTTCTGTGTTTTATTTCCAGCTTTTAAAAGAGTGGTTGAAAGAATAAGAAGAGGGTTTACCTCTTAATTTAAAGATATTAGGGTGTGAAATCTCTATGGAAATCTGCTGTAAAACACAAGTACATTTGCTTTTTTGTATGTATCTGGAAACAGGACTTTTTTTTTTTCCCTTGTGCTGTGCAGAATCCCTTTCAAACCCTAACCTTGTGTTCAAAAGAGTCTGTCCTGAATGCACAAATCCAGAACTGAAACCACAGGGCTGACTGCAGCTAAGTGTTCAGTTGCTTAATTTGAAAAATTTACTTCCAGTTCTTTCTAAATCCTTTCAGAATTATTAGTTTACACACTTATTTTCTATAGATACATAAGGATTTGTTTTACTAATACAGGTTAATGACTACATCATGACAGAATTTCTAACAATGTTGTCTTGTCTTCTAGGGTTATCAAACCTCCTGACTTCTCAAATGTGTCCTTGCTGGGCTTTGGAGAGATATTTGCTCTACTATTTGATAACAGATACCTGTATATAATGGACTTGAGGACAGAAAAACTAATAAGCCGCTGGCCTCTACCAGAGTATAGAAAGTCAAAGAGAGGTTCAAGCTTTTTGGCTGGTGAAATGTCTTGGTTAAATGGACTAAATGGCCAAAACGATATGGGCTTGGTTTTTGCCACCAGTATGCCAGACCATAGTATCCATTTGGTGTTATGGAAAGAACATGGCTGAAAAGCTCACATATACAGAATCTTCAGGAATATATGGACTATCAGCAGTGTGTCCATAAAATGAGACTTTGCATGAACCAAAGTTGCACACCTGATGGTATCATCATGCAATGCACAATCATTTACTTTTATTTGGGCATTTGGGAATGGGTTGTTTTGGACATAATGCAATACAGCATGCTGACAGTATTCACCAGAAACTTTTGTCTGTACTCATGTTTAAGCATACCTGTTGGGGCTCTGAAGCATAGCTTGTAACATTTAAGCCATTCAAATCTACCATCACGTCTGAAATGGAGTAGTGCTTGACTTGACTTCTGACCTATTTTTTGTTGTTGAGACAGAAGGCAAAGCTACTATTTTAGCACCATAGGCTTTTGTACATGTAACAGCAAATACGGGTTACATGCATGGCTGCTTAACTCATTTGAGAAGATAGCAAACTCTTTCTCCAGTATCATGCTCTTCAAAATGTTTTTTCCTTATGATAGCTTTAAATACTGGGCCTTTGAAATAGAAGAATCAAATGAGTCCTTTTACTAGGATCAGATGCTAACAATAATAAGTTCAGGAAAATGTCAATATGAACTCTCCTCAGTGAGAATGAGCCAACTTTTCATCTATCTGATAGAGCTTGCCATCACAATTAGCCTTAGAGAACCTCTGACAGTATTCATTATATTTGCTGATGATAAGTCCGAATGGCTTCATTAGTATTTTATAGTCCATATTTCCTATAGTTTGTGTGAGAACATAACTTAGTTCACAGGTAGGTAGAAATAAAATGAATGGGAAGATGATGTTTAATCTTTACAGCAAGAGTCACTCTCTCACTTTAAATGATGTCTAGCAGCCATTCACTTTTTCCAAAAGTTGCAGTTAATCTAAACATGCGCTTAAAGTTGTTGCTACATCTAGATTTGGAAGCCAGGGGCAAGTAACAGGGAGAATGCCACATCTCTGGGGAAAAAAATTGTATCAAAAGTCTTAAGAAAAGCATAGGAGTAGAAAAAGGTCTTTTGATCATCTTAGGAGACCTGATGTACACAGGAGATAACTACTGAGTAGCAAATACCTATCCACATACTTTCTGGTATTTGACATGTACTTAAAAGCTGTATCTGTGACATCACATGCTTTAGAAATGCTTTAGGTTGGTTTCCTCTTTTCCCCCACAATAAAATCTCCCCTTAATGTCTTTTTTTTTTTTTTACACTACTTGAAAACATGAGTTTTCATGAAGATTGGCTCATGTCCTTGAAGAGATAAAACTGCCTAGCATTACTATTGTTAGTATGATTCCCCCCCCTCCCCTTCCCACTATCCAAGGAGACCTAGTTTCATACTTAGTGCTGGACAAAGGCCAAGGTTCCCAAACATATGCAGTGTGAATTACACCAATGGGAGTTTTTGTATGCAAGAATCAGTATTTGAGTGATGTGGTAAGATTTGCATGAAGTCACAGTGGCAAGGTATTTCTTGAATATAAGGCTCAGTTTTCCAACTTCAGTCACACAAACTTACTTTGAAAATGTGTTTGTAGTCAAGGATTTTATCAATTGGAAGCCGAATTCACAGCTCTTGATTCAAACCACACTGACTGGGGCACAAATTATGTTTTTTGTTAAAATCTTAAAGCTTTTTGTTGTCTCACTCAAAAGTGAAGAAAACTTAAATGAAACAGAACGCTTTCAATAACTGGTCTTGAAACTCAGTTCTCATCATTTTTAATGTGGGAGTAACTATACTGTGTATGATGTGTGCAGTAACTCAACTTATTCTAAAGGAACTACATGACAATGGGCCACCTATAAAACATTTCATTAGCTTTGAAAGATTACTTCACAGCAGGAGTTTAGACAGGAACATGCCAGAAACATCCTTGTACCCAAATCAATGAAATATGGAGTGAATATTTGGACTGCAAGATGAGTGGAAAATGGGTTGGCCTGCCAAGCTCAGAGTGGTCATCAGTGATCTAAATCCAACTGGTAACCAGTTAATAGAAGTGTTCTTCAAGGGCTAGAATTGGTTAACTATTTTATTAGTGACCTTTATGATGCAGAGTCAACTCTCAGCAATTTTCCAACAATACTAATTTGGAGGAGAAAGGGAAGCCATGGGAGCGGGAAGCAGTTAATATGGAAGAGAACAATAGGGAATGATATTCTGAGGGTCCTCAACAAACCATACAAGTGAGCTGACATATCTCTGTTTAACCAAAGCATATGCACCAAAACATATTAACCAAAGATATCTCTGAAGTTTAACCAAAGCAAATGCACCATCCTGCACCTGAGACACAATCACCCCACGCAACAGGCAGGTTGGAGCCAACTAGATGGGAAATAGCTTTACAGGAAAGGACCTGGGAATGCTGTTGCACAGCAAATTGAACAGGATTCAGCAATATGCCCTTGTGACAAAAGGCGGCCAACTGTATACTGAGGTGTACTAACAAGCACATAGCTAGGGGTTGAAGGGATTCTTCACCTGTGCTCAAGACCACATCCAAGTTCAGCGTTGAGTTCCCCAATACAAAACAGACTGACACGCTGGAGCAAGTCCTCTGAGAGGCCACAGAGATGGACAGGGAGGTGGAGCACAAGATACCTGAGAAACTGAGAGCCTTCTAGAGAGAATGGTGAGGAAAGGGAAGGTGGTGATGGGCATGGGATGGGGAGGCACTGCTGCTGTCTCCAGCTACCGAATAAGGTACAGGGAAGACAGACTCATCTCAGCATCATGCACCAGGACAAGGGCCAATGTTCAAATTGCAACAAGAGAAATTCCAATTAGCTCTTTTCCTCTGTGAGGATAGTTTAAGACTGGATCAGGCCAAAGAGATTGCATGTCCTGCTTACCTAGACAGTCCTGAGCAAATCATGCTACCTTACCCTGCTTTGAGCAGGGAGTTGGACTTCTAGATGCCCCTTCTAAACTTCATGAGTCTAAAAAATACACCTCTTGCCAAGTGAGATAGTACCACTGCAGCAGACACCTTTGATCTTAATTCAGTTGCTAGAGGTGGTTGATACATACTTTGGGAGACGCTGCTGCCACTGTGAAGCAAATACTATGTTTTTTAAAACCTGTGAAGAGGTAGTTGGAAAAGAGTTCTGCCACAAGTATTTCACAAGTTGCAAAAAATTTTAAACAAATTAAGAACTCTTAAATTCTCCTTTTCTGCATTGTCCCAGAGTATGCAAGGAAAAAAGCATGATGAGAAGCATCCAATACACACTACACTGCTCTTCTACCTCTTTAGTTTTATAAATGAAGTTTTACCCTGTTACATAGCAGCTGCTAATTATTATAAACACAACTAGCAAACAGTTATTTACAGACTTGTCTCTTGAAAACTTCCAAGTAAAAGTTCCACCTGGACATCCACTAGTTAATGATGTACTATTCTGCTAATGACAGAGCTTAAGGGCATAATTATGTGCCACCACAAAACAGACGAAGAAATGAAAACATGACACTGGTGTAGAAATTAAAAAAGCATACCTGCTCTCATGCACACACTTCTCTGTCACACAATTGTCAGACTATCACTGCCCCTTGATGTCATTGGAAGGCTCTAATACATCGCCACAGCAGTACAATGCTTTGGGGAGCAGCTTTGGGGGCTTAGCAAACAGAAAAAAATACAACTGAAATTGTGAAACTACAGTGAGCAAACTTTTTTTTGTTTGCTTTCTATCTGACCCTTCAGCAGAAGTCAGTAACTACTTGGCACTATTTTTAGATAGAGGTTAGAAGAGATGCAGCTTCTGTACCCTTACACCTACATAAGAAATCAACATAATTCAACTTACCCATCACAAAAAGGACTAAAATCCATCTGATGTCTAATTTTCATGAATGAATAGTTTGTTATGAGGCTTCAAGGTCCCAGAAAAAAACCAACTGTTATGTATCATAAGTAGTTGTTCATTCATCCATCTTTCCACCTGGAAATAGCCGCCTTTTCAGTTCACGATAGTATCTTTTTCTTCAACATCAATCTGTATCCCCTGCCTCTGTTTTAAAGCTTTCCAATATGACTCAGCACTTAACCACTCATGTAATTCAGAATAGCTGTGGGTAACAAAAGAGAGATCACCCTTCTTCTTAAACTTACATGTCTCAAAACCTCAGCTGAACAGTCATTTGGATCAGCAAAACTCCAACAGCTGTTTATTGTTACAATACATCATCACTTTAACAAATGCTACTTCCAAGAATATCAGGGGTTCTCTTTTTTTTACAACTGAAACTGGTAGATTTTGATCAATTATTTTCACAACGCATTTGTTTACCTTTTACTCAATGTGGTACATACACTGATTATTTTTTTTAATTGAAAACAAACTCATTTTACATTTTCCGGAAGAGGTGATACCATCTGCAATGATCCTTGGTATCATTAAATGACTCATGGCTCTGCTACAAATTCCCGTTTCCCTTAAGAAGAAATACCTCTAACAAGCAAAAGTTCCAGTGCTAGAGCTGGTGTGTTTTCTTATCCTGCCTCTGCACTTAAAATGAGTTACAGCATTAAGTCAATGCAGCTCTTCATCTGGGAGATGCTGTCCCAAGCCATGTTTTATTAGGCACCACTAAGCACAGCTGTATCTTTTTACCCACCAAGTACTTCAGAGATAAAAATAACAAAAAATAAATTCTTTCCTTTTTAAGGTAGTTTACAGGTCCATTGTACCAGTTAAAACATATATGAAGATGGGAAAAGAAACAGAGAGAAAGCTGGAAATTGGTACATTAACTTTCTAATTTCTGCACGGTCACTTCCTAGGCCTTGAATAACGCCCTTTCAATTATAGCTCTTTTGCACACCTATCTTCTCACTATGCATTAGTCTCACGTCTTACGAAGTTGCAGTAGAGACTTTACCTGAGGAACCTAATTCTTAACCAGCACTTGATCACTCCGGACTCTTACAAGGTACCATGTCTGAGTCCATAATTAAATGCATTTACCTTTGTACAGTACATAAAAGGGTTGTTCTCCTAAATATCTGTGATGTAAACTTCATGTGGAAGTGATTTTAATGTGATCTTTAAATGGTATCCTCTGCCTCCCCACGTTAGGGGCAGCTTTCCACTTTCCCTCCTTATAACCCAGGTTTCACTTTTGAGCTTACAGTAGGATTTGATACAGCACCTTGTTAACATTGATGATTAATGATGAGTTGTATCTCCACAGTGTTGTATCCCTGATAAGGGATTCTCTGGGAAGGTTTCCTTGAAGGGGCACTCGACAGTGATAAATGAGGGCAACATCCATAGGAACATTTACACTGTTCCCATAAGCACGAAGGACAGAGTGGACTGAAGTCTGAATCACCTTTCGTGGATCAATTATCATTTTCTTGGGATTGATTACATCTTTCCTGTCAGGCTCTCTGTGAATATGCTGTAATATGTTCACACCTGGCACAGTATTCCAGGACGAAATGTTGAATGTGTGAGTAGTTACTGTTTCTGGGAAGATATGGTTCTCAAAGAGGAAAACACCAGTCCCTGGGTTTTGCTCCTGAAGACTGCTCATCATTGTTTTCCAGTCTGGGTGCTTAAGGGGAAGAATTATTTCGTCAGCATCACTAAGAACCACAAACTTGCTCCTCTGCATGTTACGGTATATACAGTCATTTAGGGCTGTGATTTGTCCATAGTAGCCAATGTGTGTTCCATCTTGCATGAAGTGCCATTTAGAAGAAACCTTGAGGTGTGAGTTTATTGGCCAGGGAATTATCTCTACCGTTCCTTCTTCCATATAAAACCTGAGGACTTTCTCCATCAAATGGCTGCAGTTGTTCTTATAGATCACCACTTTCTGTACCCCAAGAATCTTGTACATTTCCATACTCTGTATAAACTGCAAGACGTTGTTGTAATTTCCAAACATGGCAGAGATGCATACAGTGAAGTCAGCAGAAAAGGTCTCAGCCTTGCGGTTTTTAATTTCAAACCTTGGCAGCTGGTCAATATTTCCATGTGGAGACTGATGAATTGATACATGTGTTGGATCGCAGTTTTCTGGTTCCACACAAACTATATCTGCTGCACCATAAGGGAATCCAAATCTATCTGAGTGAACATCAATTTTTGCTTTTGATACATATATCCTTCTGTTGGGCTGACAGCAGAACAAGCAGTATAGTTGTTTTACATCTTCATGGTGAACAATCCCAATCACACGAGTGACTTTGCTTTCTCTGTCATCAAAGTATGGGGATATAATAAAAGTTCTGTTACCTTTTAATGCTGTTATTGTGCTATTGGTAATTTTCCCTCTACATCTGCTACCTTCTTGAATTATTTTTGGTAAGTGAGAAAGTCTCTGCAACCTAAGATAAGAAAGCGTCACCACTGAAGTTAGAGTAATAATGCACACAGCAGCAGCAAAGTAAGATTTTTTCCCACCACACAACATTTTGAATGTATCTAAATACGGATGCAAATTTCTTTGTCCTTGCACTTTATGCTGCCGCATCTGCAGAAAAGAAAATACGTAGTATGAGACAATACTGACTCATGATCATTGCTCAAGAATTTCACAAACAAGACGGAGGCCAAATCTCTATCATTGCATACGGACTTATTAGAGACCCAGCTACTGTGGTTTTATGAAAAATCAATCACAGAACACACCTTCCGTGGGATGAACAATACTGTATGTGACGCTCTGAATGCCTCCATATGTCAGATGTGCAGAACAGTTTCTGTACATGGAGGGTTATGTGAAAGAATATGATAAAGGTCTATATATAGGAGAATAAAAAGCCAGTATTCAATATTTTCTATAAACCAAATTTTAGAACATCCAATTAAATAATTAGGCAGTAATTTTTAAAGCAAAACAAAAGCTTCCCCCCCACACACACAGTGTATATGTAAATTATATACAAAAAAAACCCACCTCAACCAGACTTCTGACAGACAAGTTAGGGGCAGATATAGAAATTAAATGTATACAGAATTAATCAAGTTCATAAAACCCATAGAAACTGGGATTGCACATGATGGTCCAGGTACAACCTCTAATGTACAAATTTCATAACTTGCACCACAGATGAGACTATACATACAGAGGAAGGTCAATTCATGCAGTTCAGCAGCACACAGGTGAAATCTACGGGGGTACAAAACTTATTCTCGGTTATCAGCTCTGCCCCAGATTATTAAAATTCATGTTAGATCAGAAAACTGGACTGGTAGAAGAAAGCATCCCCCAACTGCCAGCAAGGAGTGTAGGCCAAGATAAAATAAACTGATTCTATTGCCCAAGATGAAGAAAATGCTTCTAGTAGGCGTGTCATTGCTGCATACAGCCAGCTGCTGAGAAAAAAACCCATACCATTAAAAGACCCAGATTTCTAGGTATATATTTTATAGCTAAAGCAGGTAGCAATGTCATAGGTGTAGCAGATATCGGAAGATTCTCATGTTTCTTGTCCTTTCACTTACTTCTCAAGATTCATCACTTGCTTAAGCACTTAGTAACCTAAGAATCTTCAAAGGGTATGCACATTTTAAATATCGAACAATACTTTTTCCAAAGCACATTAGTCTACTCTGAAATAGTAATTAAACCTAATTTATTTTTTTTTTTGCATATCACACATTGTATAAAGCTATTTTGAGAGCCTCTATCTTGATACTGTTTAGTGATGGAACAGAAAATTAGCATTTTCAAAGAAAAGTAAGAAAGAAAAAAAAATAAAAATAACCTAAATCCATAGTTTTGATCCAGATATCATACTCAGCAGCTTCAAAACTTTGGAAGTGCCTAAATTCACCGGCAACTTCACTGCTTGGCTTGAAAAATTCCCCTAGGATATGGTTTTCTGCTTAAACACAGTATTTTCCAGCCAGTAAAATCTAGTTTCTGAATACAGCAATCTAGCTTCTGAATCTCGACTGAGTTTAGGCAAAAAATAATTGCCCATGCCTTCAGAACAATGTGCAATATTTTCACAATTGCTCTTTCCTGAAAAAGCAAAGTAAAGAGAACTAGGGTCACAACATACCCCTTAAAATGTCCCATTTGCCAAAGCTGATACGATTTATAGCAGCCACCTCTACCAAGAAATTGCTTTACAGACTAGAACAGTCATAGGCCACCAGAAATCTCACTACATCACACTAGGCACAAAGCCCAACAGCAGCAGGAAACGGCACTGACTTTCTCTGAAACGGAGAGTCCCCCCAAGAAGTCCTTACAATTTAGAGCAGAACTGCAAATACATGGTAAGAGCATGCTACTGTCACACAACTTTCTGCTGGAGATTTGTGACTGAGAACGTCTCAAAATTTGTAAGTCTTTTTATTAAGCATTCTAAAGTCAGACAAAAAGTTCCCCTGAGCATTCTTATTCCCAGGATGTTATATATTTCAGCATTCTTACAACATAGAGTAGGTCACATTTAGCATTTTTGCTCAGTCTTATCTATTTATGACTTAAAATATAGTTCAGTCTTATAGCATAAATACTTTTTACTAAAGAAATATCAAAACATGCCAACATTAAATAATACAATTAATTTATTACCTGTTATTTCTTCTGCTTTTGCTAGCTATAAATAATGAAAAAAAAAAAAATCTTTTCAACTGTGTTTTGAACAGTGAACATCTGAAAGGAAAAAGTACCTTTAAAAGTACCTTCACCTGGGTGAAGTTCTGTTCAGTCCTCCATTTATTTTTACTAAGGTATAATCTACAAACTGTCTATTTTAACCAGATAAAGCCAAAAATATTTTTAAGATAAATTGCAAGAATTGTTCAATACAGAACAATACTGAGGAAAAAATGCTGGTACAATAGCTCGGATACTTGCCGACGCATTTTGTTTCAGATGGTTGGTGTTCCTTAATATCAGCAACAGCAGCCACACCTACCAGAAAAACAAGTTTTCCTTCTCTTGAGCAAAGCATACAGTTGCCTCCCAATAACTTGATTTATATGACAAACTTGCATGTGGAGTTTATGAAGCAAATCAAACCTAGGCACTTGAGTGATTTTTTTTAAGGCTACTTAAATTTCCTTCTGGAAATTAATCCTGAATGTTGATATAGCCACAGTTCACACACGTACTTGAAGAAAACTAGAAAAATATACTATATATCTGTATTTCTTGGGCAATCATTTTTTAGTAACATACTATAGGCCCAATTAAAATATGTAAATATAGATTCTGATGAGGAACTGAGAGAGAACAACAGCAGGTTCTAGAAAGTGAGAAAAAGAGTAAAATACAGAACTCAAGACACACCAGAACAGAGAATCTTAAAAGAAAATAAATATGTAATTACTTGAGGAGTGAAATCCATGGTTTTCCCAACATGTGACTCGCAAATTTTTATCCCCTGGAACTAACAGCACAGGTATGTAGTCAGAAAATATATAAAGTCAGATTAATTAGGAACATTACCTTTATATTTCCTCACTATAGAGTGTACTTGGCAAATTTTAACTTCAAAAAATGCTTCCGGCATATTTAAAAGAGTTTATTTTGTAACAACAACAATAACTCATTCTAGTTTTGAGTCTTTTAATTCCAATTACTATTAAAGTAGGACATGACACAAATTATGCAGATTTGCTTTAATACTAAATTTAGCTAATGGTTTCAATGGCTACTTTGCATCAGTTAATTCTTTTTCAGTATTCCCCTTAACAGCAAAGAGCCTTCCTTCCTTCCTGTTGCATTTATGGCCTGTAGTTGTATCCCCTCTTAGCCTTCATATTTGCTACTTTTTCGTTAAACAAGACGGGCTGTTCTAAATATCTCATTAAAAAAAAACACTCTTCCTTTTTCTGTGCAGTTGGCCCAGTTTCAAGTCATCTGACACAGGAGACCATAAATCTCTGTTCCTTGCCTATTTGTATATGACAGTGATAAGCCCTCATCACTGTTAGAAATGTTATTTCTTCACATATGCTAGGATTATAATTTTTGCAGATTCATCACATTGCATAGACACATCTGAGCTTGTCATCAGCTGAAGATTAATACCTCTACCCAGTCTTTCAGCCAAGTGCAGTTACACAAGGTGTTTTCTTCTGCAGCAAGGTCATAATAAAGAGCTCATGTCCCAGTTAGAATCATAGAATGGCTTGGTTTGGACAGGACCTTTAAAGATCATCTAGTTCCAAACACCATGCTGCAGGTAGGGACATCTTTCACTAGATCAGTTTGCTTAAATTAATCACATTTCTCCTTATTTCTTTTGTCATAGTCCTTCTAAAATCTACTCTAAAACCACTTACAAACTTGTGTATGCTTTGTACACATAAATCAGCTTCCCCCCCCCGGCCCTTTCCTAAACCAAGGAATCGTTCATGCTTTCTTTTGCCAGTATGCTCACAACACATTTATTAAACACCCATTATAGGTTCTTCGATAGCTTGTCTGTTGTCTTAACTTTTTGGAATGGAAGTTATTCAGTATCACCTTCCAACTGGAATGTTATTCTTACCTTTGCTGTACAACTTTGATTTTCAGACCTTCTTCTCCATCATCTTTTTTTAACCATTCACAATCAGCATTTTCCTTACTAAAAGGTGGAACAAAGTACTAATTTAGTTCAAGAGCCATTCCTAGATTGATATTAATCTCCCCCACGTTCTCTGCATTGTGGCCTTCCTTTGTAATTTTGCAGACAGCTGAAGACCTTTTTATGCCACTCATTTCAGTATCTTTGCAATGTCTGCACTGAGTTTAATTTTTGATAATTCTCATCTTATTACTTTATCTCCTGATCTAGGGTGAGAATAGGGGGCAAGTGACAGGAGGTGATTGCAAAGTTTCAGTTGCTAATATGCAGTATTAGATTCAGTAATATCAGAACAACAAACAGTCTAAGCTTTGGTTTATCCAGGGTCTAACTAAAAAGCCGGGACTAACAAATAGCCTTATTAATTTATTATGCTTGCAAAAAGTTAATTCTCTATCTGCTTTATGGTTTTCTCCAAAAGTAACAACACAAACCACTGGTGCTTAAATAAAAATAAAAATTTCAAAGACTAACAATCATTTACCATATTTATCTAGATAGTCTGTTGCGAACTTTTTGATAGCTTATCTTTTTCAGAAAGACTTTTTGAAACACCAGTGTCCTTCCTCTCTAATAGTATTCAAAGTCCAGAGCATATTGTTTGAAGGATTAAACTGAGGGCAGTATTATTCCGCTATTCTTTAAATATTGCCCTAAAAAATTAAGCTGGCCGTTTCAGTTCTAAATTCAAAGAAGATAAGCCAGACCAATATATAGTGTTGCCATATACTTAATTTGCGCCATTAGGGCTGACAAACCACACATTTCTCTGTACGCTCATAAACTTTTGTTATAACCTGCTGTACGTTCCTAAGCCAAATTTCTCCTATTGTAAAAAATTAGACTTTGTGTCCTTTGAATATAAATATATCAGGCAAAATAAAAGTTGCATGACAACATCTAAAAGATTTTTATTTCAACTTTGTCTTCTCTGTTT